TTAATACCACATCTGAAATGCAGTTGTGGATGGGAGTAGAGTCTTGGAAGCTGGTCATAATTCCAACCTTGGAAAGGACCATTCTGATGTGACTTCTTTCCGTCCCATTGCACTTTTGAACCAAGATTCCAGGCTGTTCACAGCAATCCTGGCCAATAGACTAAATTCCTTCATAACATCAACTTGAATTTACATGGTTTTGCCTGGCAGGCAGCTGAATCCTTCAGGCATGTACTTTAGCCTGCTACATTATGATAAAATCAAGAACTCTCCAATCATGCTACTTTTCTTAAAACTGCTTTAAGCACTCAACGTTCTTGAATGGCCTCTTTTGATAAAGCTTGTATTCAAGTTCAGTTTTGGCATTAAATATATGAATTCCATTAATCAGTTGTACTAGTTGGACTCCAACGCTGCAGTCTGGGCAATACAGTAGATTCAGACTATTTTACTTGTTTAGGGTTACAAACATGGCTTTTCTTCATCCCTCATCCTCTTTGTCCTTGCTATTGAATCAATGGCAGATATTATACTTTCCAGAAAGAGTAATATAAAGAATGAGAATTAATGGAATATAAACATTGATAAAAAATTAAAAACTGAGCTAATATGTCTTAACATCCACTGGAAAGTCAAAACGACCTTTAAATACAATCCAAACTATTGCAAGAACTGTCTATTTTTAAGTACCTTAGTATAATAATTCCAAAGCAGGTAAGAAAAGAGAATTTTGATCCTCTAATTAGAAAACCAAACAGATCTTACGGCATGAAAAATATTTATGCATACTGTACAATGGACAATTTAAAATTATATCCAGCATTTGGATCTGAGGGTGAAAGCACGTATGGAGCCTCAAGCCAACCATATTTCAAGCTTTCCAGAGACTCTACAGTTACCCATTCTAAACCCTTTCACATCCCTAGCAAACTACAAGACTCTAGGTAGCTGAGAAGTATAGCAGATGCCATAGAATAGACACCCTAAACTCCAGTTGATTGAAGGACCTGCTCTATGTTTTTCCTTCAATCTCCAGCATATTCTGGATGATCAGATGGAAACAAGCCACAATCTCCTACAGGCCATTTTAGTAATCCCCTGTCAAGAAGAAGATCAAGATCCATGTTTTTGCCCATGGCACTGAATCACCTCTCCCAGAATCCCTGTTGCATGGGTTCTCAAACTACGGCCCGCAGGATGGATCCGGCCTGCCATGGCCATCCATCCAGTCTGTGCCACCGTTCGCCGCCCACTTGCATGCTTGCTGCATGGGTGGGGAGGTGGTGGCTTGCATGCTTGGAGATGGTCTCCGAGCGGGCAAGCCGCCCCCACCACCGCCTGCCTCCTGTACGCTTGCGCTCGCCACTGCCTCGCAGGGGAGGTGGTGACTTGCTCAGAGATGGTTTTGGACTCGCTGGGAGATCTCCAAGCGTGCCACTGCTGCGCCGATGCTGCCTCGCATGCCCCAACGGCTCCTCACCAGCCCATGTCCCCAGGCACCCCCTCCTCACCGGATGGTCACCACAGCCTTTCAACTGGCCCCCTATTCAAAAAGTTTGAGGACCCCTGCCCTTTTGTCTGACCTGAGCATGAATAACTTCCCAAGTCTCCTGGTATTTGAAAGCGAAAACTTCCTGAAACCTGAATACTTGGAAGAGTTACCTAATTCTAATGCTGATACTTCCCTCCTTTTGCACTCTGCTAAGTACTTTTGCAAATTTCAGTGCTCTTAGGCAGCCCCATCTAATTCTCCTATGGCTGTGATATGTGATGAGGCCTTAGGTAGATCATTATAGCTTTTACATATAACTGTTAACCTAAGCTATTGAATACATGCTATGTTTGATGGATATGCATTATGTAAGCCAATTTGAATTTTTTGCATGGTTATAATAGTGATAGTGAGATAATAGATAATTGTATTCCAGTACAATCCAGATGGAAGGTACCTGCTTGTGAAAGGTGAGGAGAGAGATTTATCACTAGAAGCTCACTGTCCCTCTCTCCCTCTGTCCCTCCTGTTTTGTTTTGTTTTTTGCCTCTTTTCCACCTCCCCTGTATTCTGTATGAAATGTTGTTATGTTTTGCATTCTACTGAGGCTGAAAGCTGTATGCAATTTGAGATGTGCACATCTTTTGGCATCCATTGTAATGTCTCTTCGGGTTATGTGCTGCTGTGAGTTTTTTTAAATGAAAATGTTGGTTCTGCTGATGCAGCGTGGCATTCTGGATCACATCCTACTAACTGCTGTAGATATTTGTACTTAACTGCTTAATATTTCACTTCTGATCTGTTCCAGACTTACATAGAGTTAGCAATAATGAGAAGTGTGTGTAACCCTCTAAACTAAAAGGAAATTTAATCAAAATTGATACTATTTGTACTCTGTTGTATGCCTGAAGTTTAAATTTGATATTACATTAGGGAATTATGAAAAATCTAATTATATAGTCTGACTGCTTGAATGGTATAAGAGTTGCCATAAAATTTTTATATGTTTGAAGGCTTTGTTTTGCTACAGTACTACATAACAAAAATAAAACTTTCATTGCTTGCTGTAAGAGTTATTTTTTGTATGTTACATTATCTTTTGTTTTAGAAAGCAAGCAAACTTTGAAATTGCTACAGTCATTCTTTAGGAAAGTGCCACAGATGTTATTCAAAAACTTCAACTTGTTAAAGAGACCTTTTTTAATTATAGGAAGCATCTACTTGGTTGAAATACAACTATATAGAATGCATTATTATTGTTATATGCCTAGAAGATGTAATGCCATAGATCTCCTAAATTCTCTGCGATGTTGCATTTCTTGCAGTGTTGATTTGCTTTGTAAATATATCATGTTGATGTATAGAAAGTGCATGTGAGCAAGGGACTCATGTTTCTTATTTGAGCAGTGAATAAAGTATTGTCTTGGTGGGTCACATGCAATATGTGGTTTTTAGTCATATTAACATACTTTAAAATTACAGATGTTGTAGAATAAATAATTCTGTGACAAGCAACAATTAGAGGTATACTTCTTAAACTGCTTACTTTAAACTTGGCTATTGCTAAAATACTGATACTATAAAGCTGGGAAGTAGGACTCTTTAACTAAAACTAAACAATGTTATATTAAACATTTTAAAAACCATGCCCTGTTCCTTTATCAAGAGTGTTCAAGACCAAATCGTTGGGATTAATTTTTCCAGTGGGATTTAGTAACTGATCTTGGCTTTGGTACTTATAATAATAATAATCTCCATGGAGATTATTGAGTGTTGATGGCATTCACACAGTCCTATAGTATTCCTTTAAGCGAGTTTAGTATTGTGTGGATTTCTTTATAAGGATGCCTTGCTCAGAATGGATCAGGCAGTTGATGGGTGGAGGTTGTCGAACCTGTGAAATGTGTATTGAGATGTGCGGTTGTATTCTGGGTACTCTCCAGTGCCTGTCTGAGTAGTGTACATTTGCAGTTAGGATCCCATGTTAATCACTCATAGAAACCAATACACACACATTAAAAACTTTGTGAATAAATATACTGTTAATTCGCCCCAAATTTCAAAGAAAAATGTAGAGTAAGACAAACCCTTCTGCTTTATCACTCATTGTGTAAACATCTAAATTAATCTGTATTGTGTTAATAAATCTGCTTGATTTATTAACATAAAAACATTTTCTAGCAACTGTAAATATGAAATAAAATATCATAAGTCTCAACCCAGTCACATTTTTCTAATGGCAGTCCACATAAGAGAATTCACATTGAAAAATTATATGTTATACCCATTAAAATGTGAATTTTAAGTATCAGGAAAGTGGTTACAGAAACATCTTCATGGTTGCAGGGAAAATTCTGAAACAAATATTTTCATTTTTAGCTTTTCATAGTTTTTCATTATTCATTTTTAAGATGCTTGGAAGATGCATTGTTTACGATAGTTAATGAAATGTTCTTGAAAATTAGAAATGAAAACATATTTAGCTCACATCTGAAAATGAATATGGCCTTCTTATAATGGCTTGGTTCCATGATTTTGCATGAAATACATGAGCTCTTAGGGCCCAACTCATTGGCAGTTGCTAAACAAGCCTACTTCAAATTATGATTATGAAAGCAGTCTGTTTAAAAACATAATTCCTTGCTTGTATGTAATGACAAACTGGAAAATGGAGAAATTGATTCATGGTTTCTTTCTCCTGGCTGCATGGGAGTGAAGAGACCAGCGGAACCTGAAGCTTTTGTCATAGAGATTTGTGCATGGAATTGTAAAATAACTTTATATGCAACTTGATCACTGAGTCTGCTTCTAAAATACACATTAAGTCTTCTTTTGTTCCCAGCTGCCAATTACCAATGCAGCATATTCATGCATTTACATGAGTGTATAACTTAAAGCATGCATCCATAAGTGAGCTTTGTTCTCACTTTCCCAAGCACACTGACACACCACACCCAACTTTCTCACATTGAGTGTGAAGGTCTGACAGGGCATTCTAAGCACATTCAGTGGAATGTACTTAGAATCTTCCCAGTGCTTGGGAGTCTTGCACTACCAAGGGTCATGTTTATGGTAGGATTCTAAGTACATTATTTTTCTATGCTTAAAATCTCCCTTTAGACAGGTGTGGGAAATTTGTGGCCCTTTGGATGTTTCACCCTACAGCTTCCACCATAGTTAGTGGTAATGGATTATGGGAGCTGTAGTAGCTGCAACACACACAGCACAAGAATGGGGCCAGTGCATGCAGGGGTGGAGGAGGGCTAGCACAAAGAGCCCCTTGTAGAGTTTTTGCCCTCACACTTTCTTTTGAAGACCTGAATACAGTGTATGTAGCAAGCTAGCTATGTTTTATGGAAAAGTCTGGCTGAGAGGAGTGGGAAGAGAAAGCTAAGCATGTATATAGTAGACTTGAGTCACCTTCTCTGCCACACTGGTTCATAAGAGGATTCATGCTCCATTTCAGACCAAAGTTTATCTTTTTTCTTCTGTTCCCACCCTGTGTTAGTTATCCTGTGGTCATCGATGTAAGGAGCTCTGTCATTCAGGTGACTGTCCTCAGAACTGCAATCAAAAGGTCAAAGTTCGGTGTCCTTGCAAGAGACTCAAAAAGGTAAACTTCATATTTTACTTTGAAAACTGTGTTATGTTTAAAGCAAGCTGTCATACTTTGGGCACATCATGAGAAGGCAAGACTCACTGGAAAGGACAATCATGCTGGGGAAAGTCAAAAGCAGAAGTTGGGGGAGACCAGAAATGAACTGGATCAATTGCATAAAGGAAGCCACAGCCTTGATTTAAAAGAGCTGAGGAGACTTGTAAAGGGCAGTACATTTTGGAGGGCATCCATTCACAGGGTTGCCATAAGTTGGAGATTACTAGACAGCATGTCCAACAGTTATAATCACCAACTATTTAAACAGAATAAAATTGTCCTAAACTGAAATCTGACAGATAATTCAGTGAGCAGCACTAGTTCCATAGAGCTAGACCTCTATGGATGTAATGTCAGACTTTTCCAGTGCACTGCATTGATACAAGTACAACTTGGCTAGTAGGGATTCTGGCTTCCAGAATGAATGAATTTGAGGGTGAAGATACTAAACCATTCAAATCCGTGTGCAGTTGCATTAAATGTGTTCAGAATTATGCTGGAAAATATATATAGTTTAGCTCAAATATGGCTAATCCCAAGTAAAGAGAGGAAATATGTTTTCCTGACTAGCTATCAGGAAAAGGCATATTTAATTACATAAAAAATGGGCCAAGACAAGTTATTAAACTTGTGAATCCTTAATGCATTTTACAGCAGACATTTTCGAAGTCTCAGTGCAACTGTGGTATCATCATCTTCCCTGAAGTAGACAATATAACAAATAAATGATTTCCCCTTACATGGCATTATTATTATTATTATTATTATTATTATTATTATTATTGCCAGAGAACATTCATTTTTAGTTCTAATAGTACTTCAGCTGTTAGGAAGAGAAGAAGTTGCTTTATGTAGTGGACGTTTTTACAAAGCACTAAAAATGTGTATAAAAATCAAATTATATATCATGTTGCCTTTTTTGATCTGAGATACACATTTTATTCCAACTTGCATCATAAAACCCTTATCTGATTCTCTTCCATCTGCATGTGTGCTTTTCAATTCTACATTTGTGATTAGAGGGAGCCCCTAAAACATCTGTTCTTCCTACCTCATTCTCCCTTTTGAGGCTGTGATCAACATCTTGTAGGTACTGTTGGAGTAGCTTCAGTAGGACATCACATTGTAGAAATTATTTGCTTAGTTAACTAATTTAACACTGCATCCGAAGTTAGACCATTTCCATGGGTGAGAATTGAAGCATGCACTGAACTTTTCCATTGAAAACAGAGAGATGGGATGTTCTAGACTGGTGTTCCATGCTGGCCTCTAGAAAGGGAGAAGAAGCAGATGAAAATCCATCTTGTGAGACCAAAGTATTAATAAAGACACCAGCAGAACACCTTCACCCATAAAAGAACGATAATTTTTTGAAGAGTGTTTATAACAAGATTAACAGAATTCCTTGAATTGGCCAGGCGACCCACCTCAGTGAGATATGCGAATGTTTGATGTACATAAATCAACAAGTGTATTTATGCTTCAGCAACTTTTCCCCCATTTGGCAAATGTAATTCTTTTTCTAATCCTTTTCCCCCACAAAGAAACATTACACATATGAAATAATAAAAATAGGTAGGCCAATTAAAGTGAATAGTGTTTGTGTGTGTCAAGAAGAGGTTGTTTTTTAATCATTCAGGATTTGTAATGCTAGGGTCACTTTCCTCAATTTAATCTGTATAAAGCTGTCTTGGGAAACAGCACTGTACAATGGGCTGGTTTGGTCATTCCCAAAGAAAGGACCCACTGAGGTTGCAAATTTGGACACTTACTCCTGAACACTCCAGTTCAGAGCAGACTTCCTGATTTGTTAAACCACAGTTTCCTGTTTTGGACATAATGCAAAAGTGTGACTTAGCAAGCCAGGTAGTCTGCTCTGAGGCTGTGCATGCTCCAATTCATCACTCATTTCCTGCTTCACAATTTGTTAGATTGATTAGTCAGACAATTCAGTTATGTCTGAATTGGGCCATTGCTCAATAATAATAACAATGTGATGATGATCTGCATCAGTTACTTTGATGCAGATGGTGTTTTTCCAGGGGTATGAATAGAATTGCAAATGTTGAGGTATACATACTGGGAAAGGCCTGTAAAGGCATAAAGAGGCCTGGTTTTCCCACACAAACAGCCTTTCAAGGTGATTTACAATCAAAGAATTTCTATCAAAAATAATCCAACTAGATGTCAGATGCCTAACTAATTCCATTGATTTTTAAACAACATCAAAGAAAGGCAGCTATTCAATTCCTAGTGAAATGTAGGATTGTGCTGTACTGTTTTATGTAATTGTAACCTAAACTGGTAAAGCCTTGTGACATAGAAAAAACATCCTTTGACACACTGCATTATTTTTTTCTACTTGTAAGTCCTAGTTTGGTGTTAAAATAGAGCTTAAATGATGCTTTTTTAATAGCATGTGTGGTGCTCATTAATGCAGAGACTATTAAAATGCAAGTGAGACAACATCAGGTAAATAAATGCTGTAATAAAATTTAATCTAGTATAATCTTAATTGTTGCTGTTGTTGTCGTCATTAGTCACGAAGATGTGTCTGACCCATCGCGACCCCATGGACAACATTCCTCTAGGCCTTCCTGTCCTCCACCATGCCCCGGAGTCCACTAAAACTCACACCAACTGCTTCAGTGACTCCTCCTCATCTAGCCACCTCATCCTCTGCAGTCCCCTTCTTCTTTTGCCATCTATCGTTCCCAGCATTAGGCTCTTCTCCAGGGAGTCCTTCCTTCTCATTAGGTGGCCAAAGTATTTGAGTTTCATCTTCGGTATCTGGCCTTCTAAAGAGCAGTCAGGGTTGATCTCCTCTAGGACTGATTGGTTTGATCACCTTGCGGTCCAAGGGACTCGCAGGAGTCTCCTCCAGCAGCACAATTCAAAGGCCTCAATCCTTTGGCGCTCAGCCTTCCTTATGGTCCAGCTTTCACAGCCATACATTGCAACTGGGAAAACTATAGCCTTGACTATATGCACTTTTGTTGGCAGGGTGATGTCTCTGCTTTTTAGTATGCTGTCTAGATTTGCCATAGCTTTCCTCCCCAGGAGCAAGCGTCTTTTAATTTCTTGGTTGCAGTCCCCGTCTGTGGTGATCTTGGAGCCCAGAAAAATAAAATCTGTCACTACCTCCATTTCTTCCCCATCTATTTGCCAGGAAGTGAGTGGACCGGATGCCATGATCTTAGTTTTCTTAATGTTGAGTTTCAAGCCAACTTTTGCACTCTCCTCCTTCACCCGCATCAAGAGGCTCTTTAGTTCTTCACTTTCTGCCATGAGAGTGGTATCATCTGCATATCTGAGGTTGTTGATATTTCTCCCAGCAATCTTAATTCCAACTGGTGATTCATCTAGCCCCACCTTTCCCATGATGTGCTCTGCATATAAGTTAAATAGGCAGGGCAACAGTATACAGCCTTGCTGAACTCCTTTCTCAATTTTGAACCAATCAGTGGTTCCGTGTCCAGTTCTCACTGTTGCTTCTTGACCCGCATATAGGTTTCTCAAGAAACAAATAAGATGGTCTGGTACTCCCATCTCTTTAAGAACTTGCCACAATTTGTTGTGATCCACACAATCAAAGCCTTTAGCATAGTCAATGAAGCAGAAGTAGATGTTTTCTGGAACTCCCTAGCTTTCTCCATGATCCAGCGTATGTTGGCAATTGGATCTCTAGTTCCTCTCCCTCTTCAAAATCCTGCCTGTACTTCTGGTAGTTCTCGGTCCACATACTGCTGGAGGCTAGCTTGTAGGATTTTGAGCATAACTTTGGTAGCATGTGAAATGAGTGCAATGGTGTGGTAGTTTGAACATTTTTTGGCATTGCCCTTCTTTGGGATCGGAATGTAAACTGACCTTTTCCAATCCTGTGGCCACTGTTGAGTTTTCCAAATTTGCTGGCATATTGAGTGTAGCACTTTTACTGCATCGTCTTTTAAGATTTTGAATAGCTCAGCTGGAATACTGTCACCTCCATTAGCTTTGTTGTTGCTCAGACTTCCTAAGGCCCATTTGACTGCACATTCCAGGATGTCTGGCTCAAGGTCAGTGACCACCCCATCATGGTTATCAGGAACATTAAGCTCTTTCTTGTATAGTTCTTCTGTGTAATCTTGCCACCTCTTCTTAATCTCTTCTGCTTCTGTTAGGTCCCTGCCATTTTGGTCCTTTATCATGCCCATCTTTGCATGACATGTTCCCTTCATATCTCCAATTTTCTTGAAGAGATCTCTGGCCCTCCCTATTCTGTTGTTTTCTTCTATTTCTTTGCACTGTTCATTGAAGAAGGCATTCTTATCTCTTCTAGCTATTCTCTGGAATTCTGCATTCAATTGGGTGTATCTTTCTCTTTCTCCCTTGCCTTTCGCTTCCCTTCTTTCCTCAGCTATTTGTAAAGCTTCCTCAGACAGCCATTTTGCTTTCTTGCATTTCTTTTTCTTTGGGATGGTTTTAGTTGCTACCTCTTGTACAGTGTTGCGAACCTCCATCCATAGTTCTTCAGGCACTCAGTTCTAATTCCTTAAATCTATTTGTCACCTCTACTGTCACCTCTACTGTATATTCATCATCATCTTAATAGTGGCGGCAAATTTGGAGTCCCCAATTATTATTACACAAGTAAAAGCAGACATTCCATTTCAGTAATAAAACTTACTAAAACAGAATTTGAAAAAGAAATAATTCTGGAAAGCAAACTTTTCAGCAGCTAAAAATGTTGCGATAACCTGGCAGTGACCTTCATACAGAGGATTTCTCAAGAAAATCAGAATTCTAACTAGAACATTGGTCTTTCTACTTCTAAGAAGATAATTAATACTTATAGATGCAGTCAACTTGCATTTGTGACTATGTACACTTTATGCGTGTAAGAGTTTGCTCTTTATAAAAAGATGTGATGAAACTTAATGTTGGAAGTCTGGTTTGGAGTGGTTTATAGAATCTCTCAATGATTCCCTATAGCCCCTTCTTTCTCAGACACATTCTTTCTTGTCTGAAGTGCTTACAGGCCCAGTTCAGTGTGCTGGTTACCACCTCTAAAGCCTGAGTGGCTTGACATGAGGTTATCTGAAACAGCACTATTTATTACTTAAACCTACCCTCACGTTATAGCTTGTTTCTCACAACCTTAAACCATGATTTATTTAATTCATGGTTTGTTCAAGTACCCAGGATTTGTTTGGCATATATTTGAACAAACCATGGTTTTCTTCTTTCAGTCCTGGTTGTTTGTTTCTCTCCTTTGCCTACACCCTCCCTATATCCCAAATGTCTAGGTGGTGCTGATGTACTAGTATGGTTGAGATTTTTGACTACTGTTGCCCTCCGTAGCTTAGCAAAACAAACAATGGACAGTGCTGAGTTCAGAACCCAACAACAAACCATGGGGTTCTTTTTCTGGGTTATTCATCATTAACCAACCATGGCTTTTTAAGTGCATCCATGTTCTCATGTGTTGAGAACCCAGAATTCAACAGCCTTTCTCAGGGCTTAGCATTATGAGAAAACCAGTCCTACAGTTAAGGCATCAGGAGAGGCACTGTTGATTCTCTCACTGTCTTTTGAAATACAGAGTACAGTGACACAATACTAGGTTGCCATACTAGGACAGGGATGTAGAATTCACTGTATATGCTGGCCATGCTGAAGCAACCATGATTAGGCATGCTTTTTTCCAGCACAATTTATATCTTGTAATAATTTTCTTGAGTTACAGTTTTTGTGTGTTTATTATTTTGCGGTTTCAAAGTTTGCATTATGTTTTTGCTACTCTTGAATTGTATTTAAAGGTTTGAAGTTTTATTATTTTCATACGTTCTTGATACATCTTTTTAATGGCTGCACAGGGAAGCTTTCTATGTGACTGAAAGTGTACGATGTAATTGAATTCCTAAGTAAGTGATTTACTGTTTATCTGTTTTCCATTTTCTGGTGGAGGGCATAAGGACTTTGAGTGGTTCATTCTAGCAATGGACTTTTTTCTCCTGACATTTAGCATATTAATGCAGTTTACATTCTGGAAGAGAATGAAAACATAAAGTGAAAACATAAAAGCTAACAATTGTATATAATGCAAAGTAGATTCCATCCCCAAAACATTTGCTTCAGGTCCTTAGTTAAGAATCCTGCTTAAGCAAGGAATTTAGTTGCATCTTTCTTCTGGTTAGTCTTGGTGCAGGTTTATCTCTTTGACTATGGTTGGAGGTGGGCAGGGGAAATTTGCTGGAAAAATGGAGGATACTGCTTTGTGGCCTGTGATTGAAAGAAGCACAAAGTTCTGTATGTATTAGCCTTGGGAGATGATCCCACATTTGCCTGTGAGTTTTCTCGGTTGGTGGAGGAGAGCCTTGGGCTTTGGCTTTATCTTCAGGGTTGATAGGTAGAACCATGTGAGAAGTATTCCTTGATCTTTCCCCTTCTTCATGAAGTCCCAACCCAGCTGAGTTTCCTGCCCTAGGTCAAGTACAACTTGTATCTTCTCTTGCGCAGAAAAAACAATTCTGCCCTTTATACCTAACAGTGCTACTGAGATTTCTCTTTCAAGGTGGCTCTTAATTGCCTTAATGTTAATTTCAAGCAGAGTCTGAGAAATCAATGCCCTCAATCAATAAACCCCTCTGCATCTTTTCCAAAGACAGAGTGATCTTGAGACATACCTTTCCTTTATTCCAAAGGCAAATTGTACCTTCTGCAGAATAGATGAGCTTAGCTTCTTTTCCATTTGCCCTCACCCATTTTAACATCTGTGGCCCAAATTTGGCATCTGTTGGGTCCTCTGCTCAGACATTCACTGCCTAACTACCTTTAGGCAAATGGATAGCCTTGTAGTTTCTATGGAGGAAAGCATCTCTATTCCTGCCATAGCCAGCTGGATCAAGCATGTATTGTGCTAGGATACCAATCATGGCATATTTCAGTACTCTTGCAAACATTTCAATAGTTTAGCTGCTGCCTTGGCTAACGTCTACCTAAATTGACCAGTGTCAGAGATCAGCCAGATTGCTACACAGGTCTTTAGCCTACACATTTCCCCCACTATTATGAAGTAGGCATGCATACCTCAGCACAGGCACTCTTTGGAAGGAGGGTGTTACAAGAAGCCACTCTGTGAACAGTAGCCACTCTGGCCCACTGAGGCTATCACTACACTATTATGTTCTGTCCTGCATGCTTTCTCATACCAGCAATGTAAGGAACATTGCTTTTTTATTGTAAAGGTTTCTTTTGATCGGTGTGCAGAAAGCAGCAGGAGCAAGCAACCGTCTTACCCCAAGGGCATCTTTGGAAATTGGAGAAACATCAATGGTTGCTATGGGTGGGCATGGTTACTCAGAACAAGTCTGCCCACAAACCTTCACAGGAAAGTAAGAAGGTAGAAGCTAGAAACTCCCGCTTTGCTTGGAAGCTATATTGGTTGCCAGTAAGAAAAAACAAAAATCTTTAAAATACAAAAAAAAAAAAAAAAAAAAAATGCCAGTGGGCAGTGAGGAAGGTGACTAGGGACACGCAGCTGCCCACAAGCACCATGTTACCTACGTCTGGCAAATGTTACCCTCTCCCAGCAGACGGGACCCCAAAATACAGCTCCCAGCACCATTCTTTTTGCTTGAAGAAATTGCAACATGTTGGTTTAAGTATCACACAGGAGCCTCCTGAGCATGTAGTCCCTAATAGCCCCCTTTTTTCTGTTTCAAGCCTTATCTCAGGATTTTCTACTCAGATCTGTTTGTCAAAGGAAATTCTCTCTCTCCCTCAAGGCTGTGTAAGAAACAAAATGGGGGCAATCTTTGTCAGGAAAGAGATGGATGAGAGAAGTGGTGTCCTGCTTCTAGAACAGACTGAGGAAGCACATCCTGGATTTTCCCTAAACACCATCCAGTAGTAACCTTTATGAGGAGAAGCAGTCTTTCTTTTTGTTGTACATTCTGAGTCATTCTGGGGCTGTGCCACTTTTGCCAAGAGAGCTTTGGCTTATTGGCAGTATAGAATTAAAAAATAGAGGAATGGTTGCCTTCCTATACCAGAGGGACTCCAGCTTTCCTGCCCCATTCTCCCCTACCCCCTGCATCCTGTGCTTTCCTTGTGGGGAATTGTGCTCATCTCCAAAAGCCATGAACAAGTGCCTGTGTCAGGCTGGGCATGCTATGGTGTGACAGCACCTACTGATAGCAATTTTATTTGTGCTTCCATCGTTACGGAATAATGACTTGCAAACTAAATATCAAGAGTTAATTTTGTTTTGTTTATAGGAAACCAATGTTTAGAAATGGATGTTTAGCATTGAGACTAACAAAGAAAACCCCCATAATGTAAGAATGCTATAAAAAAAAAACTTGAACTCTCTTTCTAGGAGCTGCTGTGCAGTAAGGTTCAGGAAGGCCAGGTTTCCTTAGAATGTGACACAATATGCAAGGAAATGAAGCAGAAAGCTTCTGAGGTAATTTTCTTCTTGGTTATAATATATTCTTGTTGCTTCCAAAAAGAAAAATGAATGCAGAATTATTTTCTAAGATTATGAGACAAATAAATCAGTTGTTCATGTTCAACAGCTGTTACACATTGAATTTTACTTTGTTGTGTATGATGTTTCTATTGTTTTCCTATTAGTGAAAAGCTGTTAATGCTGTGAACTTCTGTGTGTGTTGTTAGAATTATTTGTTGTTGTTTTACAGTATTTATATTCCCATTCTAACCAAAGTGGTTCACTAAAAATTATAAAACAATACATCATTATAAAAGCACAACAGTTAGGCTGTAGTCCTATGCTATTTAGACTGGAAAATACCCTACAGCTCTCAGTATCCCATAGCCGGTATGACTGGTTGGGGCAAGTTTCAAGTTGTAGGGCTGGTCTAAACATTCATAAGAGCCTATCCTTAAAACACATTAATGGTTGGGAGAAGCCAGAATAAACAAGTACATTTTTTAGAATCATTGCAAGCACGTGAGTTTGGTATCTGCTGTATCCCAGAAGTAATTCCAGGGGAAGGGAGCTACCACCAAGAAGCCCATTGCTAACACTTGTTCATACCAGTCTTGTGCACCTTGGTCCTAGGAAGCTACTTTGTTGCATAGGTATTATTACTATAGAGGAAAGACCCATATACAGCATAAGTATATTGCCATATGCAAAGAACACCTGAAGCTTGCTTTTTTTACAGTATGCAAGAATGGCAGGATGGGATGTGAAGGGGAGGGAAGGGTATGAGTCTCAGTACGGGTTCCCCTTGGAGTGTGTCAGCGTGTGAGAGTGGACTATGGAGAGCGTGTGAGAGTGGACTATGGAGATGTGACCAGTATTCTGAGGAAGCAAGAGAGTTAGAATGTGAAGGGACTAATTGAGCATGTCTGCAATACTACATTTGTTTGCTTTTAGAAGGAGAAAGATGAAAGAGAAGGCAAATGCAAAGGAAGAAGGTTGACAGGAAATTCTGTTCATAGTGCCCAAGGCCCTTTTTGCCCAGTTTCATTGCACACAATTGTGCTCTTGTCTTTTGTTCATTCTGAACAGCCTGCTTGTGTTAACGCAGGGTTATATTACTGATCCCCAAATAATACATCATTATGTTTCATAATAATTTTGTTAAGTAAGTGTCTTTTAGCTGATTATACAGCCAACATAACACATGTTAAAATGAGTTTTTTTAAAAAAAGATCTGGATTTAGGAAGAGTCTGTGAAAGTTCTATGCCTAATTTCCATGGTAGACACATCAGTAAAAAGTATTATTAAAATGACATAGCGATGTATTTTTTAAAAATAGACTTTATGAAAAGTGTATCTGCTAAGATATATGTGGTCTTGATAATCTAGATTCTTTTGCTCATTTTTGTTTAAAACTGTGTAGTTAGGGGTAAACTATATTTGTTATATACTTGGACTTTCAAGAATCAGAAATGCAAAGAATCATAACACCATGATAATTTTATGTCACTACTGCATATAGAGCATTTTGTGCAGTTCTGGTCATAAATCCAGAGGAAACTAGAAAAGGACAACTGAATTTATTTATTTATTTATTTATTTATTTATTTATTTATTTATTTAAAACATTTTTATGCCACCCAATTCTGCCACAGCACCTCTGGGTGGCTCACAGTCATAAGATAAAACACAATAAAAACTAATTACAACATATTCAAACTGCAATGTTGTTAAAATACAGATAAAAATACAAAACAGAAGGTTGAATGGCATTAACTATTAAAATGTTTTTTAAAAGGAAGGTTTTCGTCTGGCACCAAAAGACTATAAGGAAGGTTCCAGGCAAATCTCCTCAGGGAGAACATTCCAAATATGGGGAGCAGCTGCAGAAAACGCCCTCTTCCTTTGCAGCCATTCCTCTCACCATCCTAAGGGATGGTTCACACAGGAGGGCCCCCTGCATAGATCTCAAAGGCTGGGTAGGCACATATGGGTGCAGGTGCTCCTTAAGGTAACCAGAGCCTAAGCTGTTTATGTGAAATTATAGAAAGATAGAAACTTTCCTGTGAGGTTTTGGCTTTTGAGATTTTGAAAAAAATGCATCTTCAGAGAAGAACATGATCACAGTTTATGAAACAATGAATGATAATCACTGGGAAGAAAGGAAGTCTTAGAAATACTAGAATTTCTCGAATCGAAGAAAATTGCTTGGTAGCTTCATGATAAAAGATTTATTTCACTGGGCACAAAATTAACTTATGGAATTCACTACAGGAGGATGTGAAGGATCTAACTAAAATATTCAAATTTTATAATTGCATGAACTATTCTGCTCCAATCTGTGATATGGAAACATGACACTAACATTCCATAGGCTAACATTTATTTGGAGCAGTTCTTGACTGATCATGTGGAAAGGCTCTAACTTTATGTGAAAGTGAGTGAGTGACAAGAAAACCTGAGAGGGAATGACCTCAGCTTCATTAAATAACATCTGTATCATTTAAAAGCACAGTAGTTATTTTTAGAAGTGCTTTAGTGCTAATCTCATTGTACAGTTATTCTGAGTTGAGAGTTTAGTGATTTTTTAAAAGCCAGTATTTGAGAACCAAGTGCTAAATATTTTTATATTCACACAGATGAAAGAGGCAGCAGCTAGAGCTGCCACTGAAGAGGAAAAACGAAGGCAACAGGTACTCTTCCTCCCCCTCCCTCTCCTCCTCCTCCACCACCACCTTTTTTGCTAGGAAAATACTAAAATTTTGGGCTACAATCCTATTTCATTAAAGTTAGGGCTACAACCTTGCTAAACTGCTTTATTTCTGCTATCTTGTACACTTGTAAGGGATTTTATTTCACTGATAAGAATCTCATTTGGATGCCTGACTAGAAGGTCCATATGTACATTAGGTCTCTGGTTATAAGAAATCTGTTCTGATTAATGCATGAAGTACAGGTGGTGGTGTCCTGTATTATGGTACATCATTGTAAACCAGTATTTGGGACTGTGTAGATAAGCATCAAAAACTCCTCCTAAACCATCTCCCCATCTTTCTCCATGGCCAAGATTAACAGGACTTCTGTTGGATTTAGCGTGTTGGACTTCTAGCTGGAAACATATCTTTGTCAGTTTCTAAAGAAGTCAATTCCAAGCCATGGGTTCCAAGGCTGGCTTGTCTGTTTCAGACCAGCATTCCCGTGTTTAACGTAATGCCAACTTTCTTTTGAAGCGGAAGCAAGCTCTGAAGGAAACCGCCTTCTGGCCCTGTGGGAGGAGACAGGGAAGCATATGATTACTTTGTTTAGGCTTGTTTGGACACACAATCCTAAAATATTTAGTGAAGAGATGCACAACCTTTTCAGCCTGAAGATAACATGTGATCCTTTGTTAGGGCCACATGCATGCATACATCCTAGAAGTCTTTATGTGGATTGCTCTTTCCTTGATGGTAGCAACAAGAAGAAAAGAGAAATATATACTTGGATTGCTGGACAAGCAAGTAGGGAGAAAGCAGAGTGCTATTGTAGGGGGTCAAATATTCATACTCCCCTAGCAGTATTACATGCAATTGCAGCCACTGGGATTGAATATGGCTTGTAAATCAGTACTCTGTTTTTTTATTAAATGTTTCACAACAAAGTCAGCTACTGTTGTCCAGGTGCCAAGCTTTTTTCTGCAGACATTACAAAAGAGTCTTTCATTGCAGAATAGAAGGATGCTATTTATAGTGATACAAGATAATGCTGATATACAGCTACAGTGATGGGAAAAGGGCAGTGCCCATGTGTTCTGTTTTCCAAATATTATTGAATTGAAAAATAGAAGTGTCTAGTGTATTTGCAGAGATTCTCACCTCTAGATGCTTTTGTTCATATGTGATTAAGGTCTCCACATTTAGTAATTTGGAATGGAATTGTCAGGCCTCTTGTTCTTAAAATAACCTTTTATTTAGCGGAGTTATGCAACCCAAATCAGCAAGCACACTGTGGTATACTAAGTCACAGCTTTTAAATGTTCCTTCTCTTCCCCTTCCTCCTTCTCATTGCAAAATGGTATTACATGTGTCTTCTTTGGGTCAAGGTGGGAAGCTCTGTCTTGCAAACAGCACGTACATGCCACATAAAGGTGATCTTCAAGTATAAGTGTCTGCTTGCCCCTGGAATAAGCTTGCTTGCTTGCTTGCTTGCTTGCTTGCTTGCTTGCTTGCTTGCTTGCTTTCTTTCTTTCTTTCTTTCTTTCTTTCTTTCTTTCTTTCTTTATTTATTTATTTATTTATTAAAACATTTCTATGCCGCCCCTTGCCAAAGCCTCGGGGCGGCTTACAACCTCAAATAAAATACACAATACATTAAAACAATAACAATTAAAATATATACAGTAGAATAAAATAAGCCGCCCTGGCCAAATAAAATTCAATAATATTAACATTTAAAATGCTGCTTAAATAAAAAGGTCTTTGCCTGGCGCCGAAAAACAAATAACGACGGCGCCAGGCAGACCTCTCTGGGGAGCGCATTCCATAACTTAGGCGCCACCGCTGAGAAAGCCCTCCTCCGAGTAACCACCCTCCTAATTTCCTTCACTGAGGGCTCCCGGAGGAGGGCCTCTCCCGCTGATCTCAAGGGGCAGCTGGGCATATATGGACGTAAGCACTCCTTCAGGTAACCAGGACCCAAGCCGTTTAGGGCTTTATAGGTCATCACCAACACCTTGAATTGGGCCCGGACTTCAATGGGAAGCCAGTGAAGCTGCCGGAGAACTGGAGTCATGTGAGCATAACGTCCAGTTCCCGTCAGCAGCCTGGCAGCTCTATTTTGAACCAATTGAAGTATCCGGACCGTCTTCAAGGGTAGCCCCACATAGAGCGCGTTACAGAAGTCAAGACGGGAAGTCACCAGTGCATGAGTCACTGTTGCGAGGCTGTCGTACTCCAGATAGGGGCGCAGCTGATGAATCAGCCGAAGCTGGAGGAAAGCACTCCTCGCCGCTGCTGTTACCTGAGCTTCGAGTGAAAGCTCCGGGTCGAGGAGCACTCCCAAGCTGCGGACCTTTGAATTGACTTAATGTGTTCATGAGAAATTATGTGCTTTGATTTTTCATGTGTGACTGTCAAATACACTAATGAGAAAAAAATGTATAACACTGGCAGAATTTCAGCTTTAAAAATGTCAGTTTCCAAAGTGGTTCAAAGAAAGGTACACTTTCAGCATGCCTTAGAGGCTTTCTTTCAGATGTTTCATTAATGGGTGGCCAAAACTAGCTTTCTTTAGTAACTCTTTTGAAGCAGAACGGTAGGAGGGAGAATTGTGGCTTCTTAGCACCACCCTGGTATACTTCCTCTTGTAGTGGAATGTCAGAGAGAGGGGCCTGAATCTACATAAGGCCAAAAAAGGGCAAAGGATCTCAAAGAGACATGAAAAGAACATGCAACAGAGGAGGAGTCCTGGCATCCTATGCACCTGGTTCAGTAAAAAGGTGTGAGTGGATTAGCAGCACGACCCCACTGAGACCTGGGGACTGAGAGGAATGAAAGAATTGTGGTGAGCTGGGGTCTGCAGCAGAGGCTGTGCAAGGTGATGGATGGTGGGGAGAGAGGGAACCATGAAATGGATAAAGACTGTTTACCAGACCAAAGTACTCCAGTTGCTTGGCTAGGAAGGCAGGTCTTCATTTAAACCAGTTGGACCACAGGATGAAAATCAGGGCCAGCCTTAAGTAATCCTGTATGAATGAGCTATTTGATGCCCTGATTGCCAGTATATGCATGAAAGCCTTGGTACAGCATTGTTTCCAATGGTATTTCACAAATACAGATATCCTGTTATCCTTTTGATATTTATTGGAGAGGGGAGTAAATCCTGCCAATTCAACTCCAGCAACTTGTTTGACACTGAAAACCATATATATATTTAGTATTTACAGAGTTTGTACCCTGCTTTTCAGTCAACTAGGCTCTTGGAGTGGCTTACATAGATGATAAGGCATTAACAATAAAATATTAAAAATTGTCTCTTTAACCTCAATGAGCACTAGAATGCATTTTAATGTAATTGTAAATAAAAGTCGTCATTCTTTAGATTCTGATTATTCACTTGCTTCACCAGAGTGACGGAGAAGTTTGTTTTACCTCTTTTTTTCACTCCTCTGTATTACAGCTCTTGTGCTGCAGAAGTTAAATGCATTATGTCATGTTCTTTGGTAATCAGCAGGGGGAACTATTACCTCAATTCCACATAGACTCATGCTTTGCTTAAAGGAGCATCAACCATCCTTTAGGATTTGTCTTAATCTGAATGCTCCAACCTTGTGTGTATGCTCGTATGCTAATCTCTCCAGTATGTGGGTTGCGTGAGTAGGGTCAAAGTTAGTTATATGCCAAAGATACTTTAGCATATGCAGTAGCACCTGATCTCACCCCACTAAGGCCGCAGAGCTGTTTTGCCATGCACATGAAGCAGATTTATCATGCACTATTTGGAGACACATTTGACAAACCATAATATGTTTCAGTATTTGATTCTAGTATCTAAGTATCTGATTCTATAATTTTTTTGTTTTCTTCTTATCCAGGCTGAACTAGAAGCTTTTGAGAACAGGTTAAAAGGACGGCGGAAGAACAAGAGGAAAAAGGATGAAGTTGAAGTTGAACAATCTTTATGGCAAAAATATAAGAACATGATTGTCCTGCCAGTATGTGGAGCTGCCGTTGTAATGGTTGCATGGTTCATAGCCTACCATGACTGAAACATTAATATTCATTTCCGATCACCTCGAAATGATTATCCAGCAGCTAACTGGTAAAATGTGTGATGGCATAAGTCATTTAATGTTCAGTTGTGTTTACAATAATTTTCCTCTGTTCATTGAGTAGAAAAACAACAACAACCCCAGTCCTTATACTTACCCCAAAATCAATTTAAAATATTCTGTAGGTGGACATGCTATGCCAGTATTCTGCCAGGTTCTTTCAAATGCCTCATTGTGTGAGAGGCAGCAAGTACTGTTCTATAAGCATCCATATTTCATGTTAGGTGTAAGGATTCCTGTGCATGGTTTATGTAGTTATTTTTAATGGTCTCATGGTGGATGGAGGAAACAGGTAACTTGATACTGTAACAGATGTCCATACTCACTAGCTATCAAAGGATGCATGAAACTTGAATCTTACAGGAGTCACTGTATGCACAGCCCCAATATTAGATGCAGTTGCTTTAGCACACACACATGTCATACACCTTCCTGTATACAGAAAACAACCTGTCTGACTCAGAGACCTTGTATCCAATGCAAGAACTTCATCTTAGCTGAGTTGTGGATGAGGCTTCTAGCTAGATAGAAGTCAAATATGTTGATGTTTCATTTAACATTAATGTAGAGCTTGGAACATAAAACTATTCTTGCTGCATTTTTTCTGACATAGGTCATGTTCTATACTCCCAATATCCATTTTTGCTAAAGAGCAAAAATCAATCTTTGGTTTTTCCTTTTTCTATAGACAACGTTCGACACCGATTACATAGAAATAGATAATTAAATATGATTTTTACTCCAAATTCTATTTTTGCTGTCCAGCACAGAAAAAAAGCTGTGAAATCATAGGATGGGATCCAGATCTGGACATATGCAGCTAATCTGAGAGAAGAGGACAGTCTCCTCCTCCCATAGCAGTCAGTGCAGCTCCCCATTACACAGAGGCATGTGCAACCCTGTTGAATGGGGTGAGCTGTGCTGCAGGGGAAAAGAAGCATTTCCTCAAACTGGACCAGGGCACTTCCTTTGTACCAAGATCTGGATCCAGCATTCAGTTTTTAAGGACTGGTATTGCTATCCCTCTAGAAACAGACAGACAGACAAAAAGAAAGAAAATATATTTAAATTTGTATATGTCTGCTATGTAAAAGTGGCATTCACATTTTCGGGAACCATATACGTACAAGTTGTAAGCTGATTCTTGATTCAGGTGTGTAGATCTGTATATGTTGGATTAAATCTTACATTTTTAAGTATAAAGCCCAATAGTTGTTTGAATGTCTAGTTAACCAGGTAGATGTTTTTGTTAACAAATTAGCAACTATTCCTCAAGCCTTTCAAAAATGAATGATTAAGATAATTGCTCAAATCTTGAACTGTTTTAGTAATTAATTAGATAGAGAAAACTGTCACATCAAATAAAGGGAGTACAAATTCTTCTGGTTCTTGTGCTGGTACTTAAAGTAGTAAATTATTAACTGATGGTCAGTTTCCTATTAAAATAATGCTCATGTAAGAATTCGCTAAATCAAAGTCCTGCATTTTTGGGAAAAATTCCAAGTTATGTTTAGGTGGAATGCTTGTAGGAGCCCTGAGCAAATGTTGTAACTAGTCTTGTTATTTTCACATATCACTAACAGTGGATCAGATCTGATTAATTAATGTTACAAACTGCGAAAATATATTTGCATAAATTCTATCGTTCAGAGTTATTAGTTATCAGAAGTATGCTGAACAAACTCTAAAACCAAGGTTGTGAGAAATTGTAGCTTTTGTGTTGCTACATTTACAAAGAATGAATTCATTTGGTGCTTAACTGAAGAGATCCATCCTCTGCTTGTTTTTTTTTAATAGCCTTAAGTCACTCTGTAGTTGACTTCATATCCACAATAATGGATATTGATAATTATTCTAGATTGCCACATTTCACTCTAACATACATTAACCATGAGCCCTTTATTTTTGTACCCTTACTAGAAAAAGAAGAAATCTGTCTATTGATAAATGGTGTGCAGACCAATAGCAGTTGGAGTCTTATATTTGTGTATTATGGGTTTATGTAAAACTTGGGTTTGAACGTTAATGAGATCTGTTAGCTTCTTGACACGAATGACTGGAGAACTAACTGTTTAGGCTACTACAACTCTCATATTAAAGCAGTTGTATTTCTTTGATCTCTGTAACTGCTGTATTTTTATTTGGAAGAGGCTGACTGTTTTCATTTTTTGGATATTCAGCTGCAAGAAACTAAAAATAGCAGGAACAAGTTAAATAGAAACAGCTTCAGAATCAGAATCATTTGCCAACCCTTGATATATATAAGGAGAGGAACCATGGAGCATAATGGTGGAGCACAAGCTTTGCATTCCGAAGCGCCTAGATTCAGTCTCTGGCATCTCCAGTTAATGTGACCCCAGATAGCACATGATGTGAAAGAACCCTGTGGGGATAAGGAATATGTGGCTGGAGACTGCATGTCCAGTGATGAGACAGCTGATAGGAGCCTCAGCTCAGCAACGCATGTTATAGAGGACTGCATATTCAATACTCCAAGATTTATGTCCATTTTTGATGATAGTTCACTTTAAACATTTATTTGTCATGCACTGTAAAACATCCTGCTGGCTTTCCTTGCATTAGTGCATAGATTGTTTCAGAAGGTGCTTAAATCTTAATTAATGGTTTGCTCTCTATGTTGATCCTACAGAATGAACAACACAATGCACATGAAAAGCTTACTTGATTCACTTAACTAGTTTTCAATTCGTGCTGAAACTTGTAAATTTTACAGAATCCTTCATGTATCAATGTGTTTGCAGACCAAACACAAAATAAAATGATAGAATGGCATCATTTTTTATCTGCAGTTATTTGACATAAAATAATTATGGGTGTTGAGGTGCGGTTGTGTTCGACCTACAAAGTAGTTATATTGGTTGGGTTCTGATTTATTTTCATTCTACAAGTAGGATATCACACGTATACCCCTTTGTTTAAAAGGGAAATAAAACATTACTTAAATTTGCTCTCTCTTGATTGAGGTTTAACAAGTGGCAGTGTGTTCCCTTTGGGGTTAGTGGGAAAGACTGTGGGCAGTAATAGTAATCCAAGCCCAGGACAGGACAAACTAGGGATCAGAATAAGAGGAGGCATAGCTATGCCAGATTACTACCAAATCCACATGAGCAGACAGTGGGGAGGAGAGGTCAGTCTTGCTTCTGCCTTGGGTAGTAATTACAGGGAATAGCCAGATTTGTCTGCAAGAGACACAGTTGTTTAAGCTTCCCAAAAATGAAGAGTCCACAACATTTTACAGTCTGCTCCAGATATCAAAATGAACGAAAATGAAACAATGGGAACAAAAATGGGGAAAAAAGATTGCACAGCAGGGAAAATGTTCAAGCTCAGAGATCAGTAGTTGTCCCCCTCTGGTTACTTGAGACTTACAGGGAAGCCACTTGTGTTTCTTGGAGTCAAATCAAAGCAGGTAAAATCAGTGGGCAAAGATCAGGTTAAATAGATATAGCCCAGTTAAGGAGTCTGAATGTTGATGGGTTTCCATCCTATATTGGGCATTCCAGAAATCCTGACTAAGCACTTCTGGAAGCTTGGTGAAAAAGACTTTATAGATTGTCTGAGGTCAGTAACTATAGTATCAACAGTTGCAAACATCCCATGGAAATCAAAAGTTTGAGTCAATTCATCCAGGGGTCTTCCACCATCAGCATTACAACTCTCAGATGTTGAGTTGTATCAACATCTAAAAGGCAGGATCGTAATAGAAAGTTTCAGACATATTTGGGCCTCAAAGAGACCAATAATGTCCCCACAAAGCACTGTGTAAGATAACAAGGCAATTCCAGGCAGTACATCTTATTTCACTCCACTGAAAAAATAATTCTAATCAATATTCTTTTTTATTGCATCCATTGTATATTTTCTCTTAATTCAAACTAGGTTTCTTTACTTTTTTAAAGAATTCTGCAAGCAAAGTGATGCTCAAGGTGTTGCAACAAAGAATTTTACACTAGTGATGTTACCCTGTATGCCTGATGTCCAAGCTGAATTCAAAAAGGAAGAGGCACTCAAGATCATATTTCAAATATACATTGGCTACTGGAACACACCAAAGAATTTGAGATGAAGATCAGTCTATGCTTTACTGACTCCAGCAAAGCCTTTGACTGTGTAAATAAGCTATGAATGGCTCTGAAAGAAATGGGTGTGCCTCAGCACTTGATTGTCCTGCTGCATAACCTGTGTCATGGAATAGAAGCTATAATAGGGCAGAATATGAAGAAACAGAATGGTTGCCTTTAAACAAAGGTGTATTTTATCTCCCTGTCTGTCCAATCTGTACACAGAACATATAAGGAAAGCTGGATTACTTTCCTTAGTTGTAAAAATTCACATAAAATTAGTTGAAGATACCTCAATAATTTAAGATATGCAGATGATCCCAGCGGAAAGCAACACATGAATACAATTCCTGTTGAAAGTGAGAGAAGAAAGTACACACACAGGACTTAAGCTGAATATTAAGAAAACAAAAATGACTACAGAAGAATTATACAGCTTTACTGTCAACACTGAAGAAATAGCAATTATTAAAGATTTTACATACCTTGGCTCAATTATCAATTCAGAGGGAGATTACAGCCAAGAAATTCAAAGAGGATTAAGATTTGGAAAGGCAGCAATTAAGGAAGTAGAAAAGATCATCAAGTGTAAAGTCATTTCAAGTGTAAAACCAAGATCATTCATTCACACTATTGTATGCATTCAAAACATGGTGCTGGAGGAGAGCTTTGCAAATACCCTGGATGCTTAGAAAGAGGAACAAGTAGATCCTGAATCAAATTAAGCCAGAAGCAAAAATAATGTAACTTGAAGCAGTCATATTTTGGGCACATCATATGAAGGCAAGACTAAGTGGAGAAGACAGTAATACGAGGGAAAGTTGAAGGAAGCAGAATTGGAAGACCAAATATAAGATGAATTGATTGTGTAAATGAAGCCACACCCTTGAGTTTACAAAAGTTGCACAGGTCTGTCAGGGACAGGGCATTTTGGAAGGTGTTCATTCATTAGGTCCCTGTAAATCATAGATGACTTGATGGTATGCCACAACAACAAAGAACAATTTCGTTCTCTTACTTTCAGCCCCAAATCAGTCTTGCTTACTCAGTTTTCCTTCCCTGTCTGTCACCCTTATGCCACTGTGCTGTTCCTCAAATACAATCAGGATATGATTGGACTCATCTCTTCACTTCTCTTGACCAGTAGTCAGTGCACTGAAAAGCACAGACATTTGAACTGCACCAGCAAGCATATGGATTGAGGGCGTCATTCATGAATGGCCCAGTAGGGCATGAAAGGCTGTGTCCTGATTGGCCCTGATTGGCTTGGGAATACCAATCATAGAAAGACTAGAATAGTGCTCATCCTCATTGTACTCTTTGTAGTACTCCAGTATCACTACAAACAGGTCTGAGATTCCTTTTGAGGCAATAGGCAGGCCCAGGGCAGGAGGCATACCACAAGATATTAAGATACATGTGCAGCAACATCCAGAATGGTTTTGTGAGGCTGCAACTGCAGAAAATAACTTTGAACATTGACTGTTGGAAAGGAATAAAAGATCTGGGCACCTTTGAGGGCTCTGAACACATGGGAAGACATTGCTGCACCTGGTCTTAAGGACATGTCTCTTCTGGGTTTCACAGTACTCACTTATGGCATCGTAGAAATTGTGAAATCACATTTGATAGCACATTTGGTAGTACATTCGCCTCCCAACATTCTAAAAATGGATACTAAGGCTATCAGCCCTTTAGTGAAGACATCAGCCAGCCATTCTTCCTGTCTCTACAGCTGGTGTAACAATTGCATTGTGGTGTAGAGAAATAACTATTGTGTTGTGGTCCAGCTCCAGTGCTGAAATGGGCCTTACAGCTTATAGCCAACAGCAGATCAGAAGTGATTAATGGTTTAGGCCTATTTTACCAGGGTGAATATATCCCTGTCAGGTTCTCAATGGTAAGTGGGCAAGAATTAAGTTATTCCCATCCAGCTGCTTGCTTTGTCCTTGACAGGGAAGGTAATTGGCAGCCTCTCTGTGACAGACTATCAAGAGAAATGTGTGGGTTTCAGAGGTAACGTACAGACTGAAGTATCAACACAGGAGGGGAGAATGGTGATATCCTGTTTAGACAGGGGCCTTCTTGATGAACTCAACTTCATTGTCCATTCTTCAGGAAGAGAAGTATCACAGTCACACCTCTGCTTTTAAGCAGATGACCAGGCTCGGAGCCTTTGCTAATAAGATTCTCATCTTTACTGTTCCAAATCCTTGCTGTTTCAACTTAGGACCATCTGAGACACTTGAGGAACTTTTCATGGATTCGCCATCCAATTTGGATTCCTATCTCTTGGACTTAGTATTAAGAACCTGTCATGAAAAGTAATGCTATGCTTTTCACAGGACCTGAATTCTTGCAATAATGTTATGGATTATTTATCTTTATTGTTGATAGACCAGAGTTGACCCAGATGTCTTAAACTGGTCCTAATTCTTGGGCTTTTCTTATATCCAGACCTATGTAGTGTGAGGATGCCAAAGTGTAGCCACTGAAATCTCTACATGTGTGGGATTAGTGTGGAATTGATCTTGAACCTGCCCTGACTCTTGGTTTTAATAAGCCTTGAATCATTTAGCATTGAGTTTCCAATGAAGAGATTTTAAATGAACAGCTTCTGTGTGGGAGCATTTGTTTAGGTCTTTCTTCTAGGACAAGAATCCTTGTCTTTAGTTGCCTTATATGATTTCTGGTGTACGTCATCCTGTATTTGGAGACCTTGGTCTTTCCTTGTGATACCTTATCCCAATAATTTGTCCTGTGTTCTGATTTGTAAAGGTTGCAGTAGGAAACCACGCTGTCCAGTTCTCTGAGATGATTTGCTTATAAGAAGTGTAACTTAAGCTTTTATCACAGGACTTTCTATGATGAAAGTTTAACTAATTTGGGATTATTTGTGTCAGAATATTAGAGTATGTGCTTGAAGGATTGTGCCTATGACAATTTCTGAGAACTTTCTGGCTTTGTAGCTTTGAAAGTAACATGGAAGGAACATGCGGGAAGTTACTGCCATAGCACCAGGAGTGATGTATGGTAAGAGAAGCCTGCCATCAGCACTCCTACAACATCTACTTTCTCTGCAATACTTACCTTCTTGTTTATCATTCTCATCCCTCCCCCACGGTTCATTAATTCTCATTATATATAAGTAAAGTATATAGACAGTGGCTACAGAATATACATCTGAGCTTCCAAAACAACCCATCTACCCCTAGTAAAGTAGTTACACCGAATCTTTGTGCTTCCTTTTTGATCTGCTAAGGGAAAACACTGTATTGAGGTTTGCTCAAATTCATAGCCAAGAATTATCTGTTTCTGTCTCACTGGATTTCAGGGGCTATAATTCTATAATCATGCTCATCACCTAAAGACTTACATATAACCAAAGCCATTTCTTTGGTTCCAATGTCTTATTCTTGAATGAATCCATTAAAAAGCAGACCATCTGTTTATTTACATTCAAAAGCAAACCACTAAGAGAGCCAATGTGGCACTGTCTGCTTGCCATGACTATGGAATTTATTGTATGGCAAGCTTATGTATGTGAGCCTAAATTTCTTGTTGTAAAGTTTATATAGAATTCAAATTCATTATTATGGGTTTCTGAGAACAGCAAAGAATAACAAAGTAGGATGAAGTGATGCAGAAAGTTGTTTTTTTCATGATTCTTCAAACATTTCTGAAGCACCTACTCCCGTTATGTCCACAACG